AAATGGAGGGACAAACTCCAACCATACTTCTTAGCAGACCCTGTTGGTTCTCCTCAACAACCATCTCACTTTGTCTTGGTAGGAAAGTCCCCATGTGTTCAGAGGTAAATCTTGATTAAACTATGCAATTGTGTTAACTGAATTTCCCCTTCCAGAGAGTGCCAGAGGAACATGTGATCCAGTCTTAGCCAATGAAACGCAGGAGGAAGTCTGTGGGGGAATTCTAGGAAGGTTTCCTTGCTCTTTCAATGGGACCTACATGAGGAGGGGCCCTCTCTTTCTACTGCAGGCTATCCTATCTCAACATGAAGCCTGGAATAACCACTAGCCTAACAATAAAAGCCACATTTAGAGAACAGAGGAGGCAAGAGAACAACAGAAACAGAGCTGTAGCATGTTGGAGCCCAACTTTTTGTAATATGAACAATTAATCTCCTTATTGCTTCAGTCATTTTGAATTGGGCTTTCTATTCTTTGCCATCAAAACCACCCTTACTGATCCAAGCCACATTCATACCCAAGTTTGTAATTATAATTTGTTTTCTCTTCTAAAGGCATATTTATTTTCATAGTCATAATGTATATAAATTTGGTATCCATCTTTTCCCATTAACATTATCATCAGCATTTTTCCAGTTTTTATATGTAATCTTTACAATTAGCACTTTAGAAACTACCTAGTATCTATTAAATGAAGGGACCTCTATGTAGTATCTTATTGCTGGATATTTAGGTCTGCCTCCACAATTTTGAACCAAATCACTTTTACAAATATTATCTTAACACACACACACACCCACACTCAAAGACAGTGACCACATGTGTGTATACACTTCGAGATAATCATTCATAAAAGGCAATAGCAATGGATGTCTTACTTTCTTCTTAAAAAAAAAAATCTTCACTCTAATAGTCAGATAATGCCCCAAATCAAAGCATTTTATATCTGCCTTATCCTGAAGAACAGACTGAGCTCAAAATTTAAAATCCAGCCAGGAAATGTATCAAATTTGGTATTGCTAATGTTTTTCAGAACCTGTTACATAGAATCAAGATGCAGCATTTTTTTTTTTTTAAATGCAAGGGACAGCTTTCAGCCAACTTTTTAATTAACAATCATTTCAAACACCAGATGGACTTCAAACAGTACAGCCTGTAAACAATTGTCCCGCAAGTCTGCTGCCTCCGTTTCAATCAGGAGACTGGAGTGGGTATGTGCATATGAACAGCTTAGCATGATGACATGACAAAAAGTCAGATCTACGCATCATTCTTCCTGGTGAAATCTCAATTATTAGAGCATTATCGTTATACACAGTACCTGTTTTACCCAACGGCCATCGGTCACCTATGGGTGAGTTCCACTCAGCTGCTTGTAACAGAGAGTATTAGCACAGCATCAAGTTTCCCTATCTGCCATGCCAACCAATGACTAGAAAGTGATTTTGCCTTCCTAGTCAGGAAGCTCTAAATTACTGCAGGGTACTGGGGGGAATCAGTTGCCTGTTAATTCTTTCTCTTGAAACATAAAAATAGGGGCGCCTGGGTGGCTCAGTCAGTTAAGTGTCCGACTTCCACTCAGGTCATGATCTCGGGGTTCATGGGTTCGAACAGCTCAGAGCCCGGAGCTTGCTTCAGATTCTGTGTCTCCCTCTCTCTCTGCCCCTTCCCCACTCGCACTTTATCTCTTCCTCTCTCTCAAAGATAAACATTTTTTAAAACTTTTAAATAAATAAATAAATAAAATAAACTGAAAAAGAAACATAAAAGCAACCTAGTTCACATGCAGTTAATACTCATATTCTGGTGAACTAGGTTGTTATTACCTCCACACTAGTCAAATGAAAAAGCGTGGTGCTATTTCCTAGAATGACACAAAATTACCATAGATAGGCATGGCTTCTGCTTGATCCCATGCCTGGCAGAATTAAGTCACAGAATTATGGACTCAGTCTACCTAATCACCCACCACTCAATTCTAGATAGGTTCTGATGTCCTCCTCTGGTTTTCCCAAGTGTGACAAAGGGTCTTCAGCATCCAAATCACCTTGACCTGACCATTCAGTAGAAAAAGCACATTCCTGAGACAGATGTAAGGATTGCTCAATCAGGGTTTCTGAAGGCTAGAGCCTAGGTATCTGTATTTTAACAAGTCCCTTAGGTACTCATTACGAGAACAAACTCCCTGGGCTGATTCAGGGTATTCCAATTCACCAAACGATTCTTTACTACTAATTCATACAATTAGGGCCCAGGCATCATCTTTCTCACTCCAGACATTTGAGCCACTGGTATTTCCACACCCTGCCCTAGTTCACCTGCGATCCCCCCGCAGCGCCCCTTCAACTAGGCTTAGACCAACTTTCTACCTTGAAGGCACCAACTTCCTCATTTCTCTCAATGCAACTGGATACGTGACTCTGGCCTCCAGTTTATTTTTTAAAGGAGGGATCTCACTACTATAAATTTTCTTTCCTTTTGTTCTAGTTTTTTTTTTTTTTTTTTTAAGAGAAAGAAAAAATCTCTGGACATCTTAAAATCATAAGATACAGGAAATCATGTGCATTGAACCAAAAATAATTCACTTTTTCTTTCCTTTTAGACTAGTCCTTAAGCTACAAAAATGGGGTCATCAGACAGCACATATATTTCTACATGTTTATATAATTAAAGAACCAGAGCAAAATGAGCTGTGACATGAAAATGGACACTACCTTCTAATGTTGTTATGAGAATTAAATGAGAAAACTAATACATAAAATGCTTAGCCCAGCATCCAACACGGAGTGCATGCTCAATAAATTCTAGCTGTTACCAGGCCAGGTCATTTTGGTACAGGCTCAGAACTGGAAAAGTTCTTTGAATTGCTGTTCCGCAGATAAGGAAACCAAAACTCTGGGAATTAAGAGTCTTACCCAACACTACACAACTACTGCCAGAGCCAAAACAGACACAAGTGTTTTTTAAAGCACAAATCCATATTCTTTTCACTACTTCATGACAGCTTTGTTCACCCTCTGAAGGGAAATGTAGGACCAAGACCAGAAAGCCATAAGGTTCAGAAAATGCCAGTCATTTTGAAGGTATGGATCATGCCTAATCAGAACGTAAGGGGTAAAGGACAGGATGGGAAGCTTCAGTTATCAAGACTGGGTCTGTGAAAGTAATTAATTATTACATAGACAGCCAATTGTTTTCCTGTACTTTTTTGCATGGGGCATTTATCTCCCATCTTGGGTGGTTTCTTTTGTTTCTCTTGTGTTCAATTGCTTTGCCCCAGGAAGTACTACACATACAAGTATGCAGTGTTTGGGATTCTGTCTGGTGAGAATTAGCTATGAACATAAAAACATTGCAGAGTCTGTGCTGCTGTTAGATTTAAATTTCTATTCAACACAAGATGGGAAACAAAGAACAACCTACTGTCCTCATTTGGAATATAAAGTTAAAGGAGTTACGTGTCAGACAGCAATTTACCACTATAGTGTTTTCACTTTAAATTCCACTTTTCTTTCAGTATATATATATATATATATAGAGAGAGAGAGAGAGAGAGAGAGAGAGATTTCAGTATATACGTATACATACATATTTCCTAAATATACATTTAAAGATATGAAATATAGTACAATAGCAGGAAAGCAAAAAAAGTTCCAATGTTTGCTAAACACGATATTTTACTACAAATAATCTTACAGTAAATAATGAGACAATGCTGGGGCTCTTTGCCTGATATCACCTCAATTTTTTTTATAGCCACATTGGCATTCTGTCCATGAAACACGAGTATAGCAATGACTTCATTCTCTAGGATGAAGGATAATTGATCTTAACCTTCCTATCACTTTCCTTTAACTCAAAGCTAATGCAATTCAGATAAATAAAAATGTCTGCAGGAAAAGAATGGCACTATGAAAGCTAACCTCCAAATCACCTCCAAAAGGTACAAAGTACAACATATTTCAGAATCCCAATTCATGAAATCCCTGCCCCATAGCTGAGATGGAGAGCTGCCAAAAAGATGTTTGAAGGGAAATTCAAATTTTGAAGGACATGAAGTTTTTCTTTCCAGCTTTTAAGCAGGGGGGGGGGCGAGCTAATATTAAACAAAGCCTCAACAATTCAAAATGAAGCACTGTTCAAAGGCAGATCATTCACTTACATTAAACCTATTAATATGTTATCATTATGCCATAAAACCAAAACATCTTACCAACTTTATCTCTTGATGTCACCAACTAATCCCAAATGCCCACAAATAACATATGGAGCTAAAAAAAATGGCATTCTTGAAAACTTAATTTGACTATATCATGTTGCTTCTTTCCTAAGATAGTTACTATTCCTATCTCTTTTTCCTTTCTTTTCTCTTCTCTCACTAATCATATTTACCATATTGTGCCCCAGAACTGAACATCACTTTGGCAAGTTGTATTCAGGCCAGGAGACTTTGCCATACTTTTTCAGAGGCCAGTGGTGAGAATAAAGGCAAAAAGATGTATCACATACTTCCAAATCGGAGTCTATGGGGTGGGGGGAAAGTTATTGGTTGTATATTAGATTTAATATTTCCCTTTCCAAAACGAATAATTAGAAACTTTATCTCCGCCCTTACTTTGCCTCTTTCGTGTAAATATGGTAACGTCCTCACGGCAAACTACCCTAGAGAACACACATCCACCTGACGAACACGCACACACAAACACACACAGTGGCCAGAGACGGGATCCAGGAACCCAGAGTGCAGCACCTCTCACGAAAACTACCCTCACGACAACCTTCACACACAAAGCTCGCCTCGCTAATTTAAAGTCACGGTACCAGTGCGCTTTGCCGGTGCCTCCGCGGCAGCCAGCCATCCCGCCGGGCAATATAAACGCGAACTCTCACACACTCTCTCACTCGCTCTCCTCAAGGAACACCTAAAGCCCTCGGCACGCCAGGCTGGCTCCCCGCCAGTCCCGAGCTGCCGCCGCCGCTGCTGCCCCGGGGTCACTCACCGTGTCTGCAGTCGCAGTAGCCCCAGTCCACCTTGCCGTGGGCGTTCCCATAGAAGCACCAGGGTCTGCCCGCGCCGTCTGGGCTCCGGCAGAAGTTGTGGCGCTGCCCTCGCAGCTGAGCCCAGCTCGCCGGGGGCGACCGTTCGAGGAAGGGTGGCACCTCTGCCCAGAGCAGACACGGGGCGCCGAAGTCCGTCACGTTGACCCAGGGCTCGCCGGCCGGGCAGTCCCCGGGGTGCGGCCCGGGCGTGCGCCCGGCATGGAGGGCGTGCAGGCGCTGGGCATGGAGCGCGGGCGGGGGGCGCGGGACGCGCGGGACGCGCGGGAGAGAGGGCGACGGAGGCGTCCTCTGTTGCCGCTGCTGGGTGGGAAGGTAGTAAGGGTGCGGGGGACCCGGAGGGAGCGAATGGCGATAACGGTGGTGGAGGGGATACCTGAGGACTAGATCAAAGCCGACCACTTCGGGGAGCGCCCCTAAAACCAGAGCTACCACGAAGCGGGCGAGCGTCATGGTGCCAGAGCAGCAGGGTTTGGTCCATGCTCCCCCGCTCCTCCGGTTCTGAAGGGAAGGAGGGGAGGGGGCGGAGGCGGGGCTGCAGCGTCCCTCGAATCCCCCACTCGAGTCCCCTCCCGCCCCCCGCGTGCCGACCGCCTTTCCCTCCCCACCTCGCTTCCCGCCACGGGTCCCGCGAAGCGCCTCCGCTCCTGCCCCTCGGAAGCGACAGTGGACAGTGAAATTTTGAGCTCGCTGAGACCAGGCTAGTGCAGAAGACTCGCCAAGAGAAGGCGCGGACTCCGCCGGGAGTGGTGGGGCCTGAGCCCCAGGTAGCCAGCGGTGGCTAGAGCCCGGGAACTCTGCCCCCTGGCTGCGGGCGCGGGACGCGCAGTCTCGCCCCGGAGCCGGACCTCTGCGCTTGGCCCCTACCGGGCTCCCGGCTGTCGCCGTCCGGGCCAGACCAGCTGCTGGCACCGCCGCAGCCTCGCTGTGCCGGAGCCAAGCCCGAGGGTGCCAATGCGGGGGAAGGTCTTGGCTGCCCCTGGCCGGCAAGCAACAGGACCAGAGCCCCGCGTCTGGCGGCTCCCAAGCTTGGCACCAGTCCCTGTAGCCGTCTCTCCTCCACCCCCATGCCCCCATGCCCTTGTCTAGTTTTACTGGTTTTGAAATCTTCAGAAGAGAAGTGTGGATGGATTTAGCTACAACTCTCCCCTGACAAGTCCCAGTATAAAAGTTAAAGCACGAGGAATGTTGAAGACATTTTACTGAAGTGTGAGCTCCTCAAGGACAAGACCACGTTTGATTTAGCCTTATATCCCGGTGCTTAACACTGTGCCCAACACTTATTAGACTCCAATAAACATTTGTTGAAATTAAATTCCTGAACTGACCCAGGGAAAGGAGCTTGAGCCTTTCTACTTCCTGCCTCCCACTTTCCACCGGGTGCCCTGGACAACACCAGTTGTTTGGTTATTACTGGGATTCAGTGAGGCCCTCTTAATACCAAATTTCCTTTCTAACCAGAGAAGACTTCATCCGTCCGGGTCACCATCCTATCCAAAAGTCCATCCCTCTAACACCTGCCTCGTTTTTACAGGCCAAGGGACTTAAGCCTACACATTTGCCTCTCCAAAGTGGCCCCACTGCTGGCAATTTTGAAGCTGCAGTATTGGCTTGGCCTGACCTTAGTAGAGCCTTTCAACAGCCCCTCTCCCCCTCCCCAAAGAAGTTGGCTTGGAATTTTTTTTTTTTTTTTTTTAATTACTGGAGCTGGATATTTTAGGATTTCTCCTTTCAGTTGTTCCTGACCATGCCACTGAAGTTAAAAAAGGAACAGGAAGGCCAAAGAGATGGTAATATTTTACTTTCTGGTAACCATTTGCAGGACCATATTGCCCCATAATATAATGTACCTTGAAGAAAATGTGAGCGTAACTTAAACCTTTATTGTTAAAACCTAGGTTTCAATTAGAAACTGATTTAATTCCCCAACCTCGCTCAAATAATCCATTTTAACTTTCATGAATCATTTTATTGATTTTTTTCTCCACTACTATTTAACAAAATATTTGATTTCATTTCACAATGAATTGGGTAAAAAGAATCTTAGGAATCCCAGACTGTATTTGTCAAATCTTTATTCAAAATGTTTTCAGGGGCGCCTGGGCAGGTCAGTCTGTTAAGACTCTTGATTGCTGCTCAGGTCATGATCTCATGGTTCATGAAACTGAGCCTTGTGTCAGGCTCTGTGCTGACAGAATGGAGCCTGCTTGGGACTCTCTCTCTCTCTCTCTCTCTCTCTCTCTCTCTCTCTCTCTCTCCCCCTCCCACTGCTTGCTCTCTATCTCTCTAAATAAATAAATAAACAATTTTTAAAAAGATGTTGTTATCCAAGATGCTTTTATGCATTATTTTGGTTTTTTTTACTGATACTTTCCTGGCTCCAAAAGCATAGTTAAAATGGTACTTGTGAAAGAGAGTGAAAGATGAAATAGCTCTCTGGAAGAGTTTGATTTACTTATTTAGGGTTCACCAATCACAGATTCTTGATATAATAGGGGACAATTCTAATAGGAGTTGTCCACCTGTTTCTCCACCTTCTGCCACCCGATTGGGCAGGGAACGCTCATTGTGGGATTCTGGCTGGCCTGCTTAGATCCTGCCGCACTCCCTCACCTATATGGCTCCTCCACCAATTGTTTTCACACTTTGTGGGGGGTCTACTGGCAAACCTAGTTCTCACACATTTGTGTACCTTGAAGAGAGGGGAAATAATGAATGAGAAGAGAGTAAAAGGGAAGATTGTTGGAACTCAATTCCAGAGAGGAGAGATGCTTGGGCAGGCTGGCCTCTCCTCCAGCCCCCTGTATGACTTAAGAGGAGCTTGAGATTTCCCAAGGCCTACTTACATTTAACAGATTACAAAGCTGACATGTACAAAGTGGACTTACCCACAGAAAATTCCACATCTGGATTTAATCATCTACATTTTGAAATATCTTTCCTACACAATAAACTGGCATTCAGGCAGTTGGACTGTGAATTTAGGGGCCTCCATTTGGGCTTTGTCCTCTATTTTACAGGCAAAGTATGACCTAAACAGACCTGTGCTCTACATATTACTTCCCTCTTCTGCTAATATCTTCCTTTTCTCTCTTCTGTCATTCCTCTTTGCTGCTACCAACATGCAGATGTTTAGGATTTCCAATTCCCAATCCAATCCCTGAAATGCATTTCTTTCTCCCACCTCTACCACAGCACAGTGTGTGTTTGTGGGGAGGAGGGGTGTTTGCAAGGAGAAATTCTCTCCTTCTGCCTGGAATAGGCACTACCTAGCCACAGCACCCTCCTCAGATTCTCATTACCTCTATCAAAGCCAAAGGAAAGGGGGAGACAACTCCATCTGGTAACAACTACAAAAACTCCACTGCTGATATTTTTTTTTTCCTGTCTTGCAATCCCTTCAGCAGAAACAAAGGAGCAACGAAAAGGAACTGACAGAAACAAGTATTTGACACCTTGCAGGCATTCCCCACCACAACACTTAGGAGGCCCCAGGAGGTCCCCATAATACCCCTTATCAGTTCTGCCACCTCACTGGGTGGGGTGAAATCCTCACTGGGGATTTCAGTCCCCAGAGTTCCACTACCCACAGCCTCAAGGCCTAAAACCTAGAAGAGTGAACAGGGGAGTCTGCCTGCTCGTATCACAGCAGGAAGGGTGGGCAGTCTTGAGGGGTAGGGGTGGGATACATGTATATCTGCATATCTGTATTTCCTATGCCAACTATGTTTTATGTATATAAACATTTGGTTTTATGGTTGTTTAGGAGATGATTTTACTGCACATATGTGATGGGTTGAAGAGCTCTTGTGTTGTTCTATTTGGAAATACAACCACTATGCATATTATTTTTACAGACTTCCAAAAACCAGTATGCAAAATAACTTTTGGAAAAGTTCCATTTGCAATTTGGGTACTGCCTGTATTGGAAAAGCTAGGAGTTTTTGAACTTACGGCATAAAATCAGCATTTACTTGTACAATACCAAGTGCAAGAAATGTGTTAAAAGAACACTGAGCATTGCTCTTTCATATAAAAGGGGGGTGGGGATCAAATATGAAAGCCTATGTAGGAACTGTGGGAGATTTGAAATTATAAGACATTATCAGGCTGATCTTTTAAAAATATTTTATGTTTAGTAATCTCTACACTCAGCATGGGGCTTGAACTCACAACCCCAAGATTAAGAGCCGCATGCTCCACTGACTGAGCCAGCCAGGCACCCCAAAATTTTTATTTATTTTTTAATATTTATTTATTTTGAGAGAGAGAGAGAGCCCGAGTGAAGCAGGGGCAGGGAGAGAGAAGAATCCCTTCATGCTATCAGTGCAAAGCCCAACTCGGGGCTTGATCTCACTAACCATGAGATCATGAGCTGAACTGAAATCAAGTTCAGCTGAACTGAAATCAAAACTAATTCTATGGATTCATTTTCAGGACTACTCAAATAATACACACTAGTAGATAAGGAATATATATATATATATATATAGAGAGAGAGAGAGAGAGAGAGAGAGCATGAATTTCATATATATCTCAAAAAAATAGTTCCTTCAGCCTTGGAATCAAACTGATGCTCAGTCTGGCTCTAGCTCTAACTGGAGGATCTTAGATGAGTTCCCTTACTTCCCTAAGCCAAAGGCTTATCAAAAGGGACAGTAATGGTACTTGCATGATAAATCCCTGTGTGGAATAATTGAGATAATGCACATCAACTGTTGAACACAGTACTCAATAAATGCCAACTATAGTATGGTAGTATATTATCAGTAACTGCCTTTGAATTCTTAACCCCTCAAATTTAGCCACCCCATGAAAACCTGTGAACAAAGCAGGAAAATTTGTTCAGAGCTCCCGTCCCACCAAGCTTGTGTCTCTTAGTATACCTCAGTAATTCCTCTCTTGGATCAGGGACAATCACGAGGTTGCTCTAAGCTCCACTGGAGAGTTTGTCCTCTCAGAGGTCTCTCTACCTCTCAACAAGTTTGATCCCCAAAAGTCAATGAAACACTAAGTATTTTGGGTTAAAACACTTTTCCTGAGGAGTTTGCCAAAGTACGAGTGATTTTCAATTCCTCAGTTGCAAGTGGGAATAAACAGATTGGAAGAAAAGCAACACTAGAACTGCTCGTGAGTGATCTGGGAATCACAAAACCCAGTGCTGAAAAAAACTTAGCGCTCCAATTTTCTGTCAAATGCAGAAATCTTTGCTCAAAACCTCCTGATGAGTGGACTTCCAGCTATTTCTTGAAAACTACTGATGGGGCAAATTCTTACTTGGGAGCCAGCATACTCCATCTGTAGAAAGTCCAAATTGTTGGAAAAATCTCTGCTATTGAGCCAGAAACCTACTTCACCTAGCTGTGATTCTGTTTCTGTTCTCCTACTGATTTAGTATTAGACCTGGGTTCAAGTCCCTATTAAGTTTTTTGTTTCTTGGCCTCCAGGGGGCACTAAAGACTCTCCCCCACTTCTCTTAAAGGACCTTCAAGATAGAGATTTGCTGAAGGGGCAGATCGAAGAATAGTAATTGGTATACACTACTAGAGTCCTATTATCATTTAAGATGTAAATACATCTGTATTCACATAAATAATCAATGTCCTATTTTCCTTCCTTATGCTTAGTGATTTTCCTCACTTCATCTTTGGATTCTTAACCATAATGTTGAGATTTGATTATGGGTTGAGGTTGAAAGGGAGAGACCAAAACTGGTTACCTGTTT